GCCCCAAAGAAGAGATATAAGAAGGTACTTACCTCCATCTTGGCAGAAGTGAGAGTTTATGGATATGTAATGCGATATAAAATGTTGCATTTGGTTGATGGGTTTGTTTTTTTTCTTTCAGAAATCTTGTTATAAGGGATATCTACCTTAGAGAAACTTACGGAGAAATGTAGATGATGTAAAAACCAAAAAGATATCAATAAAAATTCAAACTAAGTAAATCTGGAGGCAATCTTAATGTCCAACAGTAGGAGCATGGTTAAATAAATTGTGTAGCATTAATGTAATGGAATAATATAATGAAATTAAGATTGACAACCGTAAGAAATATAAGGAAATATGGAAGGACCTTTACAAAATAATGCAACGTTAAAAAAAATAAAGCAAAGGGGCAGCTAGGTGGTGCAGTGGATAGAGCATTGGCCCTGGCATCAGGAGGACCTGAGTTCAAATCCGGCCTTAGACATATAACACTTACTAGCTGTGTGACTCTGGACAAGTCATTTAACCCCAATTGCCTTGCCAAAACAAAACAAAACAAAAAACAAAAACAAAAAACCAACAGAAGTTTACACTAATTATAGTCATTTTTTGGTGTATTTCTTTGGTGAATTTCTGTGATTTCTTTGGTAAAGGGACCTCTTGACCTAGAAACTCCCTCCACCAATACAGATTTTCAGTTTTCTATAATTTATAGTTTTAGAGATTTGCCTCAGGGCATTGAAAGATTAAATAACTTGTCTGGGTTCAAGCAACCAATATGTGTCAGTGTTATAGGCCCTGATGCCAAGCTGCATCAGTTAAGAAAGTTCCTTATGCTGATGAAATCAGAAGGCCAGACAAAATTAATATGTTTTTTTAAAGAATAGGAGGAATAGCATAATTGACAGAGGAAGGTCCTGGAGGAAACAGGAGGGGATAAGATCAAGAAGATCTGAAAGGCTTGGGATTGGAAAGGAGGAAGGTCATTTCTTCCACTGAATCAAGATGGAAGATGTGTAAATGCTAAGTCTTTGAGATGAAAAGGCAGGAAAATTATTCCATTCCTTCAATAGATTATACTGTCTCCAAGAGAGATTGTTAACTTGAGGAATTTGGTACAATTGCTATTAACAAGGAATGAATAAAAGGATTACTAAGCACAGAGAAGACCTATTGGAAATGTGTATAAATTTGCAATGGGTCATGTCTATGAGCATTTTTTGTGTTTTGTCTCTAACAGAATAGGACCAGTAGCGGAAAAAGTAGAGGTTGGTAACCCAGGGCAGGGGGTTGACATAAAGGGCACAGCTGAAGGTCATCAGGATGGTAGAAGAAGGAGCAAATTAAATAGCCCGTTATGAGGTCTAGGCTAAATAGGAAGACAAGTAAAGCCAGATTAGAAAAATATTCTCACACCATTAATGTGAATGTATGTGAAGACTGTGTTCAGAGCATATTGTTATCAGCGACTTGTTGCAATATTTAATGGAAAGTATCATCTAGAAAAAATGTAATCAGAAAATGGGATATATTGCATGACAAGAAAAATGCTGAATTTGAAGTCAAGACCTGGGTTTGAATTCTTTCTCTGATACTGCCTGTATGACCTTGGATAATCATTTGACATCTCCTGGCCTCAGTTTCCTCATCTGTTTTTTTTTCATTTGTTTTTGTTTTTTTGGTGAGGTAATCAGGATTAAGTGACTTGCCCAGGGTCACACATCTACTAAGTGTCAAGTGTCTGAGGCTGAATTTGAACTTAGGTCCTCCTGACTCCAAGGCCAGAGCTTTATCCACTGTATCACCTAGCCGTTCCCTTTTCCTCATCTGTTAAACGTTGAACTAGACGACCTCTAAGATCCTTTTGAGCTCTAAATCTATCAGTAGCCAATGATAAAGAGAGGGATAATAGATATGTAGCCCAAGTACTACACTGGTAACTATGAAATATAAATAGGACCAAGAAGAAGGCTTTTGCATGTTAGGTAGAGCCTTTGTGAAAGATCCACTTGAGCACACTACTACTCCTTCTCAGTCCCCTTTTGCTGGATCTTCATCCAAGCTATGCTTGCTAACCATGGGGGATCTTCCTCTTCTCTTCTCTCCCTGTACTTCTTCACTTGGTAATCCCATCAGCTTCATGGATTCAATTATCATCTTCATGCAGATGGTTGTCAAATCTATCTATCTAGCCCTAGCCTCCAGTCTCCCAGTTCCAACTTCCTATTGGAACTGCATGAACTGAACTGAACTGCATGTCTCATAGACACCTTAAACTCAATGTGTCCAAAAGTGAACTCATAATACTTCTCCCTAAACCTATTCCTTTTTAACTTCCCTTTTAGGATCAAGGACATCACCAGCTCCTGGTCACTCTGGCTCCCAAACTAGTTATCATTCTCAACTCCTCAATCTCTTTCATCCACATAGCCAATCTGTTGACAATGTCTATCAATTTTACCTTTGTAACATCTCTCATACACGTTCCTTTCTTTCCTCTGGTACTACCATTACCCTGATATAGGCCCTCCTGGATTACTGAAGATAATTGAAAATACCATATTCTCAAGGCTATAGCCACAAGAAGAAGCCCGAAGCCCTAAGCCCTCAGGTGATGACAGCACAGGAAAGAAACCTGCTTTGCCATCAATAAATGCAATCAGTGAAATATATAACCAATGTAAGTGCAAAGTTCCAAGATTTTGCTAGCTAGTTGCTAACTATGCCCTAGCTTCTAGAAAGGGAGAGAGACTCCTCCATCTAACGTTCCAGTGTCTCTGTCCTCATTGTGTCAGCTCTTATCACCTTTTCCAGATGGTTTTTTCTCCAGGGGAAAAGAGACATTCCACAGCTATGTATAGCTTAACTGCTAAGTAATTATTTGGGAGGTTAAAGATCAGACATAGGGGCTTGAAACACATGTTTTGATAAATATCTTTATAAGAACAGATCCCACTTTTTTTTTTGTTTAAGAAACCCTGTAACAATGTATTTGCCTGCTAAGTGTGTGGAGGTAGATAATATGTCTATATGGTCTTCCCATTATGGATAGATGAAGACATTGTTCCAGCATAGTCCTAGCACACATACACAGGCACTTGAGTAATCAACTAATTGTGAAAGTGTTTATAGGAAGGTACCCTCACATCACCTCCAGATTTCCCAGTTCCAGAAAACTAGGGACTGAGAATAGCCCAAAGCAAAGCCAGGTTACCACTATAACAGCATCTTGTTCAAATACTAAATAACTAATTGGTGAAGGTGACATGATTAAAATGTTTTTGTGTCTTATGTCTTCTTATCCTTTTTTGTACCACTTTATAGTTAATCAGAAGGCAGTTTTACATATGTGAGCTCATCTCCTCCCAACTGCCCTAGGAAAATAGGGACAGTGGTGGAAAAAATGAGTGTTGGAGAAACAGAGTTGGAGACTAACATAACATATGGAAGGATCTAATGTAAAGAGAAGGGAATCTAGAATGCTAGGGAAATGGTGGGTCATGAAGCCCAGGCCAGGTAGGGGGAAGTGAAGTCATTGAGATAATTCAATACAATTTAACTGAACAAGTATTTATTTAGTGCTACTAAGTGCCCAGGGTCAGGCTCTGTGCTAGATGCTAGGGATACAAAGACAAAAATAAAAGTCCCTACCCTTAGGTCAAGAATCATTTATCAAGGACCTACTATGCTCCAGGCTCTGTGCTTAAGCATTAAGCCCTGAAGGAACTCATACTATACCAGAAGGGAAACAACATGATAAGTGAATACAAAATATATGCTTTGTGAATCCAAATCCAAAATAATTTTGTGGATAGAAAGGAAGCAGGGCAAGGAGGGGAAAGATAAAGTACATATTATAAAACAGATCATTATTACCCCGCTTTAATTTATGGGAAAACCAAAGATCTGCTGAGAAAAGATTCACTTCCTTTGGAATATCAGAAATCCTACCAAAGTACAGGAAGGTCCTGAAATTCGTTTAAGTGTATTTCCAATCAATCAATCAATAAACATTTATTAAGTGCCAACTATGTTCCAGGCATTGTGATGGGGATACAAAAAGTGGCAAAAGATAATACCTGCCCTAAAGGAGCTTACAAGCTAATGGGGGATTTTTTTTCCAAGTGAGCAATATACAGGATAAATAGGAAGTAATTAACAGAGGGAAGGCACTAGAATTCAGAGGAGTTAAGGAAAGCTTTCTGTAGAAAGTAGGACAACATTCCAATATGGGGGACAGCCAGAGACAATTTATAATAAAATAATCTCAAGCCAATCTTCTTAATGCTGTTAATGGTCTAAGGATATTTCCCCAACCCAACAGTCTCCTTCTGAAGTCTGGCTTCACTTGACTCTCTATTTAGTCTGACCCCATGATCTTCCTTTTCAAGGAAATTTATCTCAACATTTTCATTGATTTAAGAAACATATTCATTATTGACAAAACAACATTATTGACAAAGTAACATTATTAACAAAACAAAACAATGAGGGCTTTGGTATTTTTGGTCCTTATCTGCTATTTTATCTGCGTAGGGAACTTCCCAGTGAGGAATTCCCTCAACAAATGCAATTTGTCTGAGACATCCTCTTAGAGAAGGAGAAGATGGGGTAGGGAGTGGTACATAAGAGGCTATGTAACTTTTCAAGGTTCACACTATCAATTTATGGCAGGGGTGAGATTTGAATCTAGGTGTTCTTCATTTTCTGAGGCAAGTTGGTGGCTCAGTGGATACAGCCATGGGCCTAGAGTCAGGGAGAGTTCAAATCCACTCTCACACACTTACTAGCTGTGTGACCCTGGGCAAGTCACTTAACCTCTGTTTGCCTTAATCCACTGGAGAAGGAAATGGCAAACCACTCCACTATCTTTGCCAAGAAAACCCCACGGACAGTGTGGTCCACAGGATCATGAAGAGTCAGACATAACCGAACAAGTGAACAACAGTTCTTCATTTTTGGGCCAGGCCAATTGTCCTCATTTCCATAGCACCTCAGAGTAGGAAAGGTAAGTGTACCTTCATTATAGTCAAGAGGGAATCAACCCTGTAGAGATGGCCTACAACCTTTCTACAATCTTCAAAATATTCCTGAGAATGAAGTCTGTTAAGGCAAAGAGCTTGCCAGTGTGAACCAGGCAACATATTGCTCCAACCTCTCAAGTTGTGATTATAGCTGTATAAGGCTTTCTGATTTTTTGCCTTTGTTTATTTCTGATGTGGAAGATCTTTCAGAGAAGGCACTGGGTCTTTTTTTTTCTTCTTTCCTTTGAATTCCTCATGCCATGCCAGAAAAAACACAGACCAATAGGTTTGTCCAACAAGTGAATGGAGGAACTGCACTGTTCTCTGCAGAGGTGTTTCTATAACATATGGAATACTGAAGAAGTTCCCCACAATCCCAGATTCTGTTTTCATTATCCTCTTCAATGACAAAACAATACTAATTATTTAAGAACTTGTTATATGCAAAGGCACTGTACTAGTCAGGGGAGATGAAAAGATAAAAAACAGTATGAGATTTTAGATCCACTGACCTATTGAAGAATAAGTCCTGCCCTCTAGGAGCTTACAGATAAATAACAAAGGGAAGAAGGGAACTTACATTTATTAAGTGCTTACTATGTACCAGGCACTGTGCTAAGCACTTTACAGATGTTATCTCTTTTAATCCTTACGACAACCCCTCGAGGTAGATGCTGTTATGACCCTCATTTGACAATTGAGGAGCCTAAGGAAGATAGACGTCACACACAGCTAGTGTGTGAAGCTGGATTTGAACTCAGGTCTTCCTGATTCCACGCCTATCACTGTATTCACTATGCCACCTAACTGCCTACCAAATATTCAAATAAATGTACCACAGGATTGGATATGATCAAGGGAAAAGAGAGATGCAGACAAAGCACTCTAAAAAAATATGAGAAAAGAGTGATGCGTGATCATATCTTCAAGGAAAAAAAAACTATCAAAACCCACCAAACCAACCAGTAATTGTCATAGTCCCTAGAGACTATCTCTGGAAAGACCTGGACCAGCCCACCAAGATTAACTACAGAGCAATTTTATCATCTACAATCCCTGAATTTTAACAATTCAATTCATTTCAACATAAATGCATTAAACAACTATGTAAATAGGTACCTGGGGTTACCAAAATGAAACAGTACCTTGTCCTTGAGGAACTTAATCACAACACCCTATAGCCAATCAGTGTTGTTATTGTCATTGTCTTTTTATAAGAAAATTAAGGAAGAATTCTAATATTGCTTTGACAGATCGTATAAAGTGTTTCCTCCAGGAGCAGGTCTGGCCTCTTAGGGCTTCATGCAGCATGTTTGAATAACTTTTTTTTTTCCATTCTCATCAATAAACCTATCGCTGACTGGATCAGAGTAGATGATGTCCTTATGCCTCCATTCTGTTACCAGTGAAGTAAAGAGGAGTATGTATTAATTTATTACTTGAAACCATGCTTGAGAATATAGACTACAAACTGCTATCATTCACTTGTTTATTCTTTCTATTTTTAAATTTATTTTTAAAATAAATTTTACTTTTTAATTCTTAATTTAACAAATACTAAAAGAGGAAAAAATTTCTGGGTAGAAATTTTATATTTACATATGTGGTTTTCTCAATCCACAGGGATCCATATGTACAGTTTTAGCGGCTGTTGTTTCTATTTGATTTTAATACCACTGATGTGCAATGTTTTCTAAAAAGTATGTAATGATGTGATGGAATACTACTGTGTATCAGAAATGATGAGCAGGTTGACTATAGAAAAACATGGAAAGATTAGCCTGACATAACTCAGAGTGAAAAGAGTAGAACCAAGGGAACGTTGTATATTGTAACAGTAATATTGTTCAACTGTGAATGACTAAGCTACTCTGAATAATGTGATCATTCAAATCAGTTACTAAAGACTTATGAAGGAAAATGCTATACACCTCCAGAGAAAGAACTAATATATGGAATATATATGGAACATGGATACATTGTGTAGTTCCACATATATATGTATATCAAATGTTGGCCTTCTCTAATGTTGGGTTGGGAGGGAGGGAGGAAGACAACTTGGAACTCAAAATGTAACCAAAAAAAATGTTTTTTGAAGTATGTAATGAATTTAACATGTTACTTCCATAGCTGTCCTGCTTGTACTGCTTGTCTGAATGTCTATTCTCTTTTGTACATTTTTAAAAAATGTCTCCAGGTCTCTCATGACTTTCTTTATTCTTTCTTTTCTTTTCTTTTTTTTAGCTATATTATCACTAGTTTCTCTCTCCTTTTCCTTTTTCAAATCCCTCCTCTTCAAGTGAAAATATTGTAACAAGTATAGTAAAGTAAAATGAATCCACAATTTGCCAGATCTAAAAAGGTATGGTTCATTCTGTATGTTGGGCTTATCATTACTCTGGCAGGAGGTGGGTACAATGTTTTATCATCAGTCCTTAGGAATTGTGGTTGGTTATTACTTTAGTGAGAGTTCTTAAGTCCTTCAAAGTTGTCTTTATTTATGTCAAAAAGCATTTATCAAGTGTTTTCTATGTCCCAAGCACTATGTTAAGGGTTGGCAATATAAAAATAAAAAGAGAACAGCTCCTGACTTTAAATAACTTAGAATTTCTTGGGTAGAAATGACATGCACACATGTGACTAAATATATAACATATGGAACATAAATACAAAGGAATCTTGGGGTGACACACTTGGATATTTGCATCCCAGGAGAAATTCTTCCCATTCCCTGGCAATCCATGCAATCCCTTAAGGATTCATCTTTCTCTGACTTACATTTGGACAGCAAATGTCCCGCACTAGTGGGTATTGAGTAAATGTTCTTTGATGTTGTTGATGGGATTGTGTAATGGGACAGAGGCCTGTCTCTTTGGGCTCAGTTTGGAGTCTGGGGGCTGGATAAGATGAGCAACAGAGGACCCTTCCAGCTCTAGAATCCAGTGACTTCACAATGTGGGTCTCTGGCAGTTAGAAGTTGTTAGGAACAGTCTCCCTAAGGGAAAGTCACAACAAAGCCACTGCTGGTGCCTCCAGTCCTAAAGGTCAATAAGAATGGAGACTGTCCAGGAGTCAGTTCCTAAGGTATTTCCAAACTGCTCTTTCATGAGAAATTAAGCTGGTAGAGTCAAGGTGGGGGTGCAGGGGCAGAAAGGCTAATGACCGAGTGATGACAGCTTTTTGGTAGTGGTGAGGCTGTTAGGGAGGTAAGGAGGGTGATGGATCTCTGACATTTAAAGTTTTTCCCATTAGCAGTAAGTGTGGCTCTCTCTCAATATTTGATGTTGGGGGGTAGCAGAGGAGAGAACTTCAGTCCTACCACCTCTTTTCCTGATCTTTCATGCGCTTATTCAAAGAAGATGGAATCCTCAAGCAATCTGGCTCCTTGGCACACCAACTTTTGATACAAAAAGAAATGTGTTAACATTAAGTCTGAGAGATGCGTTTTCCAGGAACAAAAGTTGTAAAAGCCCCTACAGAAGGCTTGAGACAGGGTGAGGTGATCATGGTATCTCTATTGTCTTTCTGTAGATGCTCATACAGCCTCTTCTAGAAACTGAGAGTCTCCCCAAATGAAAAGTATTCCTGATGAAAAAGTTTGGGACTGTCCAATCCAACCCAATCCAATCCAACAAGCATTTATTAAGTGTCCACCATGTGCAAGGTCAAAGAAGAGTCCCTGCCATCAAAGAAATTACATTTTGTTGGAGGAGCGTGACTGGATGGAGAGGGGAGATAGTTCAAATAGCAAATGGATATGGGTGTCTTAGGATCCCAGGAGTGAAGAAAGGTCCTAGTTTAATTTCAACTGCATATGCACTAAGGAAATAAAGTCAACCTTCATTTTTAAAAGTTCCTTGCTTAATTCTGGATTCAGACCTATAGCAGGTCATATCAAGACTTCTGAGCACATAGTGTTTTTAAGTCAAAGCTGGTCTTAAGGGTTGTCTTAAGTCACTGACGTGCTTTGTGGGGTAGCAGGAAGACAGCTACCAAATAACAATCTCTGCTCCCCATTTGTCTATCATTAATCCCTGAAACTACACCATTAGGAATTTATGTGAGGAGCAACACATTCAGGATAGAGTTTTTAATGAGTTGATCATATAGAACACTCTGATATTATAATATCATAGAACACAGTTATAACATTATAGAATAAAACCCAAATATATTTAAATAGATGTAGGTAGGCATGGGGATTATATTTGTCTCTTAAAAGTGTTTTACTGTAATTCTTGTTGTTGAGTATCTTTGAAATGAATTAGTCCATAGCATTGTGAAAAAACATTCCCATATGATACTAAATTTAGGTTTTAGTATTTAGCCTTCTAGGGACTATTTATTTCTGTCTAGTGCTTTGCCTGTAATTAGGGTAAGCTGAAGGTTCCTCTATGAACACGTGGATTGTTAGCATTCCCTTCCATTTCCCCAGACTTAAAGCCAGCAGTCTATTCAGATATCAGAGGTATTCAATAGGATCTGAGCTCCCCTTAGTTTTTGCATAGAAAAGAGAACACCCAAGGGATGGGCTACAAACATTTGAGCGTGAGTATGAGAGAGTCCAGGTCAGGATTACATTTCCACAGTGGAGACAGTTCCTTCTTCCTTTTGGCAGGATTGGTGTGGGTGATAGAGAATCTAGAGATTGAGTGTGTCAACTCCAGTCTGTAATTGAATGTTTTGAGAACTCATAAAGAGGCAGAATCACTTGGGGACAGAGCTTTTGTAGTCCTTTTGAAATAATTTTTATATATGAATCATATTCATCAAAGGTCTTAAATAACCATCCTACTTGGAATTTTTCACTATCTCACAATGAGTCTCCAGATCATTCTTAGTTCAAAGTTCCATTCCAAAAGAAGCCCAATTGAAATGAATCAATGGTGAAATATTGTATCACCCTCACCAAACCCTTCCTTGCCCTCCAAAGTCTGGATTATGGGTGGCAAGTGAACACCACAAATTCAAAGTGGTGAGGCAGGATTGGGGAAGGTGATGTGGAATCTGGAGTGAATAGGTTGATCTAAGGATTCAGATAGGTACAGATGAATAAGTTCAGGACAAAGGTAGGTCAGAATTACATAGACTTGGAAAAAGCAAAGCAGTATTCTGAAATCAGGCAGGAAGTAGATATATCCAGGATACAGACAAAGGGTCAGGAACCAGGAGGTCTGCAAGTGTAGGAGTGTGTCAGGGTCCCATGACCTTGGGGACAGGTACACCTGAAAACAGAGGGAAAGGCTTACATAATAGGAACTTAATAAATGTTTATTGAATGAATGAATGAAAAGACGATCACTGATCTTGTGACAGTTGTTATCTTAGCCCCCCAAGCCCTTTGTTGTATGAGAGGCCTGAAGATCTTTAGAAGCTTCCAGAATAGCACTTTGTACAAGATTTCCAGGGGCACTTACCACAGAGGGACACAAGCACAAACATTGAGGGAAAGCCAGTCAGATATCTGGGCTCTCACAACTGAACTGGACTGCTCTGCCGCACAATCTTTCTTCTGGCTTATTTGCCCCTTTCTTGACAACACATTCAGCTCTTGTGTCTGAGTGCCAGTTTAAAAGCATGAGATGGCCTTAGGGGATAATGATTTTATAAGCTGGCTAGCAGCTGCCTTAGAGAAGAAAGAAGCTAGTGCTCTAATCAGAGTTTTTTTTTTTTAATTGGCAACAGCTTATACTTTCTGTTCCAGAGAGTAATTGTCCTGTTTCCTGGTTATGGTAACAGTATTCCCACTCTGAGACCCAGTTCCCCCTACCTTCATATGTTACGATGGAAGCATTTGATTTAGTTTCTTTATGTATACATTGGAGGAATTGGTACCCTTCTTGTGTATTGGGATCTCATGTATTTGCCTGGGTCTTTATGATCATCTGCTGTTGGTTGGGCACCTTCCCTTGTGTCACTACACAACCGAAAGCCAGTAACACACATCTTGGTGCACTGACATCCAGCATTCTCTTCCTGTGTCTTTTCCTTATTGGCCTTCTGGTGAAGGCTTGTTTGGCACTAATGTTTGTACCCATCATTCCTTCTTTCCCTATTGTTCTTTTAGGGTTGTCTGCCAAGAGTGCAGAACTATTGGTCCTCATACCTTTCCTTTTTCTTGTTTCTTCCCAGTCTGATGCAGAAGCTTAAATTTAAAATTCCTGCCTACCTAGACCTTCTCTTTATCTTTTAAAACAAGCAGTCTTGGACTGTTCTTTTCATGCCAAGGCAAGTTGGACAAACACTCTTTTCAGTTTACTTTGTCTCATGACTCCAACTATTATTTGAGAGGATCTTTGAGGGAAGGTAAATTGACCAGAGCTGTGGACGAGGAACCCACAAGATAAGAAAACATGTATAATTTACAATCTGCACAAGTGAGACAGTGCTTACATTTTTGAGATCCCAGATTAAAGGGAGAATGATTAGAGACTGGGGTTGCAAGGGGTGAATAAAAAAGATTCATATGTTTTTCATTAATAGGTATATATTGACTTTGTCAATCTTAGCATTACTATTTCTTTTTTAAAAATATTTATTTATTTATTTTTAACATTTATTTAAAAAAATTTTTGAGTTCCAAATTTTTTCCCTCCCTCCAGCCCTTCCCATACCCATTGAGAAGGCAAGCAATACAATAACAATTATGCATGTGAAATCATTAATATTACTATTTCAAGGGATCTTGAATTACTCTGGCAATTATCTAATTGATCTTTTAGTGGCCAGAAACCTCTGTACACTTTTCTCAATGTACAACTTCAAATGAGTGATGTTAGTTCTGAGAAGAATGGGGCTCTGTGATTATTAACCTGGTGATAGTGATTTTCTCCTCTCTCCTCACAGATTTTATTGTTTTCATGTTGAACACATTTCTAATATTTAAAGATTTAGATAGCTTATAAAAAGTGATTTTGTTACTTTGTCATACATGCACCAAGCTTACTTATATGCCTATGTAACTAATACTTTATTCCATTTGAATTCTAAAAAAGCAGTTAGATGAAGATTCCATCTTCCCAAGATTTCTGTTGTGGAAGTAATATGACTGACCAAGTATTTAACATTATTGTGCATTAAGTACAGTACTGTATTTGCTCTTATTTCCCTCACCAGGAGAGAAAGTCAATTATTTATTTCTTTAATACAGCAATTTGTCAATACATAGTACTTGCTGATGCAATTGGTGAGTAAAATTGCATATTATAGTTATCTATATTGGGATCTTATTTCCCTATTGGACTACAAATTCCTAGTGGACAGGGACTATGTCTGATCCAAACTTTCTATCTCTCTGAATACCTAGCAGTGTTATGCACACAATAGGTGCTTCAGCAAATGTTTATTGTATTTATAATATGGGAACATCAGCGTCCTCTCTGGCTCCCCATAACCATAGTAGCAAGGGAAGGGAAGTTCCAGGACTTCAGAATCCCATGGGACCAGGGATTGTGTCAGGAGTCATGAACTTTGAAAAAAAGATGGTGAATTATATGGCCAAGGCAGTCTGCGTATGCTCTTGAGCTGCTGTGGAGAGAAATCTAAAGTGGGGAAATCTGTTGTCATGGAAGGGTGTCTAATGAACAGCAGTCGTGGGCATTACAGACTGCACTCAGCACATCAGGGCTCCAGAAACTGGAGGGTGGGAAGCCTGAAGAATGAGTCCACGTGGAAGCTGGCAGCCCAGAGCTGGAGCTGGAGTAAATTATGCCCCAAGGGACTACAGCAGATCTCCATGCTGGTCACTAAGAGCATGCTGCTATAATTGGGTTCATCTGCGTGCTTAAGCATGTCTAGAATAGACAGGAAGTTGGATTGAAGTACCAGCAATAGGCATATTGAAGAAAAAACAGAACTAAAATGTATGTAAGTTTGATAAAGCTCTGTTTTCGGAGTGCTTTTCACTTGTTAATGTACTGTCTAATTCTCAGCAATTTTTCCAGAGCATTGTTTCATCTCTAATCTCTAAATGCAGACAACCATATCATCTGAAATGTTTTGCAACCACACCTCTAGGGGTGGGGAGATGGTTCGAGGTTCCTCTCACAGGCTTCAACTACTTTATCGGAACTAACTTCAAAGTC